TATGCCATTTATCATGTTTACACATATTTTTCATTATATTTCCACATACTTTTCATCATATACATCAAACCATGGCACATTCACAATACACATCATTTTTACATAAAACACAATATATTCAAACATGAAACATCCATCTCTTCGTATATTTTATATCACAAAATCATAAAATCATATCAACCATCCTCAATATACCTTATCATGCCCTATTTGAACATAATATCCCATTTTCACCATGTATTCATCATAAATCACATAAACAACCAATTGTTCTCACTATTCACCGATTATTTTTCAATAAAGCAAGGATTATTCCACATATAATCACATACATGACAAGATCTATGAGAATACAAGTAATAAACATAACAAAATGATAAAGTAGAGCCCCCCTTACCTCAAAACAGAGCTTTTACAAGGATTTAACCGAAGGTTTAATTCTAGAACGGAGGTTTTCCTAAGAACATCATGAACATCTATAAGAAGAAGAAAAAGAGAAACGAACGGTAAATCTAACTTCAAACTTAGAAAAACTTACTTGTAATCCTTTAGATCGAACGTAGAATCACAGATCTGAAGAAAAATCTAAGTTTAGGAGGTTTAGTATGGGAGAAAATGGCGAGATATGACTTTAGAACCTTTGAGAACCTTGGATAGGAGTGAAGAAATGAAAATTTCGTCTGCAACCCCCTTTTTATAGAAAATTTACGAAGTTACTGTTCGCCGCCGGAAATTACTGTTCATCGCCGGAAACACTGTTCACCGCCTTACTGTTCATGCCGGAAACACTGTTCGCGGTAACTGTTCATGCCGGAAACACTGTGCACACGTACTGTACACGGATTGTACGCGTACTGTACGCGGATGTGACGTCAGCCATGACGTCATACTGATGTCATTGATGACGTCATCGTCACTGTACAAAGGCAGTTTCACTGTTCATAGGCAGTTTACTGTTCATCGACACTGTTCATAGGTGGTTTTACTGTTCACTTTTTTTTTTTTTTTTTTTAAATAAATTCTATCCAAATCTATTCCAATTATACTTTAACAAACCTCATTTTATTTAAATCAAAATATAGGATGTTACACCCTGTGTAGTAGGTGGTGCAGAGTGTGAAACTCGCTGTACTAGAGGGGGAGGAGCAATATACCTAGGATTGGGCACCATGATAAATTGCTCTTGCTCCTTAACCCGAGAGGTCTGCACTATAGTTGGTGTGGAGGTCGAAGTGGGAGGGGTGGGTGAAGAAGTGTTGCCACGATTAGAACGCTGAGCAACACCCTTCTTACCTTTACCTATCATATCTGAATCAAATACAATATATGTTTAGAGACAAATACCATAATCTTTATAAAATATGGTTAATATTGGTGATAACTCAAAATAAATAATCATGAAAACATAGTAAATTGACAAACCTACTTAATTTACCTCATTTACTGTGATAGTTCAAGACTACCTTCATCATCACTCGATGAAATATCATTCATAAATCCTTCCTCCTCATCTTCAGTCATGTCATCCATTTTATTATTTCTTGAAGCTTGGGTAGGAGGGTCAATTATTTCAATTTCATTTAAAGGAGAAGATAAAATTGGAGAGACAATAGTGTCTATTACTACATGTGAAGGGATTGATTGGTGATGAATTGCTACGAATTACAACAAACACGTATGAATTCCTCTACACCCTCAAAGAATTCAGGTTTTATTCCTCCCCCGAGGCGACCTATCATACATCCACTGACGATATCTGAGAAATATTTGGATCAAGAACTATATAAACCTAATACAAATACACAAAGTTGTATCAATCTTCTATTATACATTACACAATTTTTTAATATAAATTTTGGCAGAATCTCCCCTAATACATGTCAATTTCCTTATGTTTGTATACCACGTTTTTACAAAAATTAAAATTTCACCACACAAAACTAATATATTATATAACAATATATTAATCGATGCATAAAACACAAACACATCACAATCCTAAACTGTTCTAGAGTACATCTCCTTGTAACTCCACAACATGCATATTCTACAAACTCCACAAACACAAACAATCCCACAGCACATAATAATCATGTTCGAAGAAGGACCTCTATGCCTTTTTCCCCAGTCATATAATCTCCAATCCTACAACTCTATCTTAGAAATTTTAAGTCTCTAAAATACATCAAAAATAAAAAATATAAACCGATATAAAGTTAGAGTATCGTACTAGGAACACAATGATGCAAATTATCTTTCAAATGGATGCTCCAATCACTCGCAAAGGCCAAAAAACTGAAGTTTCTATAGAGAGAGAGGAGAGAGAGAGAGCAAATTATGTAAAATGAGGAAGGAGAAGGAGGAGGTGTAGTTTTAAGGATTTCACACATTATAGACAAAAAAATTCATCTATAAATGGTTTAATGAAACAGTACGTTTTAAAGGTTCATTTACAGACGTATTTTTTTGTTTGTATATTCGTCAAGTCCAGTTACAGACGAAAAAATCTGTCTGTAAATTGCCAGATGAAAAGTCAGTAAAAAAGGGCAATATTTACAGACGAATTTTCTCATCTGTAACTCCCTCTCAAAATTTTCCTCCCATTTTCAAATTACAGATGAAAAAATCTGTCTGTAATTCCTATCTATATTATTTCGCGCCAATTGGCGGGCAAACTATAGACGGATTTTTCAGAATTTTTTTTAAAAAAATTTCACAAATTTGTCTGTAAAGTTGTTTGTAAAATCTGTCTGTAATGGCCGTATGTAAATAACATTTTTCTAGTAGTGTTTTAATTTCACCTTTACACTTCTTTAAGTTCAATTTTAGTTTAATTCTAATCCTGGTTTTCCTATAGTCACTACTCACTTATACTAACACTTAATGGTTATGTAAAGCAAAAAGATAAAGAAAATATAAAGAACCTATGAGTTTGTTAATTTGATAACTAATTAAAAGAGAAAAACTAAGTTTGGTTCACTTAATTACTTATCTTGTTTAACCTTATAATTTCATTAATTGCATGTGGCGCATTTGCCTACACTGCAATCAATTATAATATGTTATAAGAGTTATTAATTCTAAACACATAGATATAAACACGTTAGAGCAAAACTAATCCAGAAAGAAAATTACAATTATTATTAAATATAAAAAACACATAAAGTGTGCAAAAGGTCTACCATAGTTTTAACTATGAATTTAGCTACTCATAATAAAATAAATAAGGAAAGCAATTATAAAAAAAATTCATGTGCATTCTAATTAGTAATGCAAACTAGAGAAATCCATAAGGAGAAAAAGACAAAAGAGTTTTTCTCAAAAAAGCGCTTTCAATCACTTGCTTATACTCTTAAGATATCATACATCTTCACCAATGATCTTTTCTCCCAAATGGCTGTTGTCAAAAGTCAACTTAGGTAAAAAGTTTCCATAATAGGCACCATAAGCTCCTTTAGATAAGTTTTTAAAACTATAAAAATTATAAGAATTTGAATCACCAAGCATCAGGATAGTTGTGCATATCATTAAGCACGATCATGCTTAACCTCAAAGCATCTATAAACTAACTTTTAAGGAAGTTCAAGCTTCATGCTAAACATATAACCCTACTTTCTATAATATTTTCTTTAATTGTAACCAAAATATTTTCATGATTTGTTGGTGATTTTCTCATATTAAACTACAACAAATTATAGCAAAATCAATATCAAATTCTTATCAAATAAGAGTCAAATGTATGAAATTAAGTTATAAAAATACTTTAAAATATAGACTTATCAATAATTTTCACTTTTCTTTTTAAATTTTTTTACAACAATTATTTTAATTGTGTCCAGCTTGAATTCCATTTTATTTATTTTAACTGCTACTAACATAAGTTGCTTTTTCTATTAAAAGGTTCTATGTGATTACTGAATAACGTGTGCCACCACTTCGCTAGAAGTTATTTTGCCTTAATTTTCAAATTTTTAAATAAATATATATAAAAATTAAACTTATTATTTACCTTTCATTTTTATGAATGATTAGGATTTATGAAATTCAACCTTAAAAGAGTTGTATCCATTGATTAAACATTGTTCACAAGAAAATAAAGTTGAAAAAGTGGCAGCATTGTGACAATTGGCATGATGGAACTGCACCTCACGTTGGTGCCAATACGGGAGAGATCCCTATGGGTGGAATAAATTTTATATATAAAATATAGTAATAACTTTATATAGGTCTAAAGCATTTTATACTTATTTATGCAAAATTAAATTAAAGATATTTAAGAATCAGTTGTCATATCAGATGAGTAAAATTGAGTTATTTTATCCATTAACTTAGTTACTTAGCATTACTATTACATTAAATATATTTTAAGAATCAATAATCAAATCAAAATTTTAACAACAATTTCGTTATCAGTTAAAAATATAAGTACAATTAAAAATAACAGAAATATTATTGATTTTATTTTATTATATTGATAATTTTAAGCTGTTTTAATTTAATATTTTTAAAATTTATGAAAATACATAGTGCATACATTTTCAATGATTTTAAATATTTCATAATTCTGTTATTTATATTTTTTGAATTTTATGTAAAATTTTAATTATATTAAAATTTAGAAAATAGGCAACGCTCCGTTGGCAAAGTATTACAGTGCCACATGCACGTGGGCCATTAAAAAATGGAGGGTTTGGACATTAAGTTCGGCCGAAGTTTACTCCCCTCCATGATCCCATAATTAGACCTTAGTACTTCCACGTTCTCTCTCACGCACACAACTTCAAATTTGGTTCTCATTGTTGAATGAATCTTTTTTACAATTTTTTTCCTTCTTTTCCACTATCTTGGTCCTTTCATTGAATTTATGTCTTCTCCTCCCTCTAGCATGTAGAGAGAGTAGATAGGGATATACATACAGCGTTTGCATGCTTTTTATTATCATTTTCTTGATCCCAGCATCAGCAACTAAAAGAGGAAAGGGATAACAAGAAGCAACCAATATGTTGCAGAGAGCTGCAAGCAATGCATATTCATGGTGGTGGGCTAGCCACATCAGAACAAAGCAATCAAAATGGATGGAGCAAAACCTCCAAGGTTAGCTTTTTCTCATTTTCTTTTTTGTATTTCAAACAAAGGATTAGGTGGCTTTAATTCAACTGATCAATTCATAATCTACTTTAATTGTCTGGTTTGATCTTGATAAAATATCGTCTGCTACTTAGTGCCACATGGTTTGAGACTATGAGCATGGAATATTTGTATCATATTCTTATGAGAAATGTGTAAATGCCTAATGGCCTGCATTGTTTTCCCTTTTTATATAAAAATAAATGTATAAGCTACAGATGATCAGTTAGTTAATTATTGAATTAAATCTTCAAATTATGTTGCCTTATGTCAGAATGGTATATATTTTTTACTGCAATCAGAAGATTCAATTGTGCATAAGGGGAACTAAATTTAATGATCACAAGGTTTTAAATTGCTGTTGAAGTCATGGTTGCAGATCTGCAATCGTGACCTGATGCAGTTGCGGCCGCCAATGCAGTCTGAAACCTTGCTGATGGATGTTCATTTGCATTTTAGAAAATTAAAATTGAAATCCACTTCAACAATAGGCAATATTAAATAGCTTAAAATGCCCATGTATGATCAACACAACCCACTTTTGTTTTTATAGGCCGGTGATATATCTATCTATGTACTTGTGAAACTAAAATATACAAGAAAAACTGCAGATATGGAGGAAAAGGTGCATGGTGTTTTGAAGCTCCTAGAGGAAGAGGGAGATTCCTTTGCCAAGAGAGCAGAAATGTATTACAAAAGAAGACCAGAACTGATAAACTTTGTGGAAGAATCATTCAGGGCATACCGTTCTTTAGCTGATAGGTATGATCATATATCTACAGAGTTGCAAAATGCCAATAACACCATTGCTTCTGTGTGCCCTGATCAAGTCCCATATATGGGTGATGACGATGATGATGACGGGTCACCAAGACCAAGGACCCCCAAAAAAATGCCAGAAGGGTTCAAACCAAATATTCCAAAGGTTCCAAAGCCCCCACTTAGAGATTTAAAAAGTATCATAACGACAGCCACTAAGAAACTCAATCCCAAGAAGATAGCCACCACAGCATCAGCTCCTAAAGTTGCTAAATCTGGTTTGAGCAGAAAGGAAGCAATTGAAGAGGTTGACAAGCTGCAGAAACAGATTTTGGCACTACAAACTGTGAAGGAGTTTGTGAAGAGCTCTTATGATAATGCCATTGCAAAGTACTGGGACACTGAGAACCAGATCAAGGAATTGCAAGAGAAAGTTTCCAACTTGCAAGATGAACTTGGTGAAGGTATTGTTATTGATGATGAGGAAGCCCGACATTTGATGGCAGAAGCAGCTCTTCGGTCATGCCAAGAGACATTGTCACAATTGCAAGAGAAACAGACTATATCACTTAATGAGACCAAAATTGAGTCCAAAAGGGTAAAGGAAGTAAGGGAAAAGTTAAGTTCTCTCATGGATGAGTTCCATTGTGATCAAACCAATCCCAAAGAGCCAAGGGCCAAAAGAGATGTAAAACAAGTAGCAGGAACAAAGGACTGGGATGAAGATGTGAGCAAAATGACTCGGCAAAAACAGGAGATGGAGTTACTACAGAAGAAAATAAAAGAGCACTTTGAGGCTGGCTCTTATTCATCTCTTACGGTGACAGAAATGGCAGAAAAGATTGATGAGCTTGTCAACAAAGTTATCAGCTTAGAAACTGCAGTTTCTTCCCAGACAGCTCTTGTAAAGAGATTACAAGTAGAAACTGGTGAACTTAATTCCCTGATTCGAATTCTAGAAGGTGATAAAGAAAGTTTGATCAATGATAAAGCTAAATTGCACAAGCAACTGAGAGAAATGGATGAAAAGCTGCAAGGAGTACAGGATCTAAACCAAATTGTTGAAGACCAGAATAGCAATCTAGAAACCCATTTCACCGAAGCACGTTGTAATCTTGATAATCTCTCGGAGAAAGTCCAAAAGGAAAAGCCAGATGAGGTCAGGGAAATATCAGTAACTGGAAAAAATTCATCAAGGGAAGCTGAATCAAAACATGATCTTGAAGGACAATATGGATTGAATCAAGACAACATCTTACTGAATGATGCAAAATCCAAAGAGGAACACAAGGTCACTGCTGTAATTGAAGATTCTGTGAACTCAGATAAGGAGCTTAAGGTTGCTGGTGTGGTGAAAGATGATGTAAGGTTAGATAATACGCCTAAGGTCACAGGTTCATTGGAAAACGAGGTTAAGATCACCAATGTACCTAAAGCGGAGGAGGAAACCACAGTGGAAAACAAATCTCCAATACAATTGAAAGAAAGTGAGAAGACCATGGATTCTAGCCGTAATGACAAAATAAAATCAATGGATGCTTTGAGAGCTACTGCTGGAAATCTGGAAGTAATCCAACACCAGACAAGAGAAGAGGGTTCTGTTAAACAGCAAGAAGATGATTCTAAGCAAGTTTCATCAGGGACAGTGACTACTCTTAAAGATGATTCCCCGGAGCAGACTGTGACACTAAAAGATGAATCTGATTCTCAGCAACTGCTTATAAAGGAAATGGAGGATAGGGAAAAAGCTTTGCTGTCAGAGTATACCAATGCTCTTAAGAATTACGAAGACACGAGGAACAAGCTGGCTGAACTAGAGAAGAAAAATCAAAATGCCCTCTTTGAGTCATCTTTGCAGCTGAAAGAACTGAAGACTTCCAATGCTATGAAAGATGAAGAGATTAGACTCCTACATCAGAAACTAGACCTCCTGCAGAAAAGCTTGGAGGGAAAAGAGGTTTTGGGAGAGATACCATCAGCGCAGCGACCAGAACAACATGACATTGTGGAAATTTATAAATTGGAAGAAACTGAACCTACAACATCAGCCATTGAAGAGAGGTTCCGAATGAGCATTGACGAACTTCTAGAGGAGAACCTAGACTTCTGGTTAAAATTCAGTACTTCGTTTACTGAGATACAGAAATTTGAAAGCACGATAAAAGATTTGCTGACTGAGGTATCAAAACTTGAGGAAAAATGGAAATCATCAGAAGGCAGTAGTAGCATAAAATATTCTTTGAAATCAGACGCAAGACCACTTTATAAACACCTTGCAGAGATCCTAAATGAACTGACTGGGTGGTTGGAAAACAGTGCAATGCTGAAGGAAGAACTTCAAAATAGATTCTCATCCTTGTGTGAAATCCAAGAAGAGATAACTGCAGCATTGAAATCAAGTGCGGAAGATGACGAATTCAAGTTCACAAGCTATCAAGCAGCCAAGTTCCAAGGTGAGGTTTTGAACATGAAACAAGAGAACAACAAAGTTGCTGATGAACTTCAAGCAGGTCTAGATCTAGTAACAACACTCCAACTAGATGCTGAGAAGGCTCTTGCAAAGTTGAACGAGCGATTTGGGCTCTCAAACTCTAAAATAAGCAATGTTAGACCTGTAGATTCTCGGAACCAGGTTCCTCTCAGGTCATTTATCTTTGGTGTCAAACCAAAGAAACAAAAGCAATCAATCTTCTCCTGCATGACCCCTGGAATGCACAGAAAATACCGTGCTTTGAGAGGATAAAGGCTTGTGTAAAAAGTTGTACCGCATTTCTTCAATGTTTAGCGTCTACAAAATTCATGTATTGGTGTCAATAGAGAGCGTATTGAGGTTTGAGAGTGCTTTTTTACTTAAAGGGAAGACATTCATTTTTGTGCTGTCTATAAATTGGCAGGATTACCACATGTAGGCTTGAGTTTGCCCTTTGTATTTTGAGCCTTTCTCATGATATATGAATGACTCCATAGTCTGCATTAAAATGTTGTCTTCCACGTACCTAACTTCCAATCAGTTAAATGTAGTGAAGGAAGCTGAAGACCTTTTCTCTATGAAGATTCTGTTTTTTTTTTCATATCACTCAGGACTTGTGTTCTATTCTACAATATCTATTTTATTATAGATTATAATAGACTCTAACTCTCTATGATTTTGCGGATTTCTAGAATAAGCAAATTATATTTTTCTTTTGTTATTTTTTTATTCTCTTGTTTGTGTAATGTATTTTCAAATTTTTTCTTATCAACATTTTTTGACATAAATAATAGAAAAAAATTAGAATATTAAGCATGTGCCCTTAATGGTTTCAATTTACATGAATATTTTGGTTTTAGTTGTAAAGAAGTTGATTAAAATTGACTTTTGACCATATAAGAAGTCAATTATGTAACGTCTCGAATTTTGTAATATGATTTAATGGTAAGTAAATATAGATGGATGCGTGTTGTGCCACGTGTTGGTGCATTGATTGACTTAATGGTGATATGAGCATGCCTTAGTTGATGGGAATGTGTGTGTGAATATAGATATATGTGAATGTATGTATAGGTGTGTGTGATTGAAATTTGGACTGAAAGAAATAGGTTAAGTCCTGGTGCAGGGCATTCTCACTGTAGCGAGAAGTCCCTGGGAGGAAGGCATGCGATTGTTGCCTTCTCGCTGTAGCGAGAGACGTCTTGCTGTAGCGAGAGACGTCTCGCTGTAGCGACAGAGTGACAGTTTAGGGTGCATTTCTGGGTGTAATCTCGCTGTAGCGAGATTCTGCAGAAACCAGAGTGCAAATTTGTCTGAGTTTTTTGCTGTAGCGATAGAGGGCGTCACTGCAGCGAGAAGCGCCTCAGTGCAGCGAGGGGAGTCACTGTAGCGAGAGTGTTGCGACCAGAGGGGTATTTGAAGGGTTAGGGTTTGAGAAGAGGGTTATTTTTCATGATTTCCCTCGCTCTCCTTCACGATTCTCTCCACCTAAACCCATTCCTATCGATTAAAAGCCCTCCAAGGACATTTAGGAGCTTGATTAAAGGTTAGAAATACGTTTGGAGTCTTTGGAGGTAAGTTCTATGGTTAGGGTTTCAGTTTTCATCCCTGTCCTTCATTTTCTGAAGTTCCCCCTAAGTTTGCTTGGGATTTCTGTGTGCTTTAGGGATGAAATCCGTGTGAGGAGGCAATTCCATCAACGTTTCGTGTCGGGCTTCGTTTTGAGGTAAGGGGAGGACTTTACTCTAGATACCTTTGTTCGGAATAAATTTATTTGAATGAATATGGTAATGTGATAGAAATAGGAGGTGAGGTTATGTATCTTGATGGACTGTATGAGTTGGGTTGAGTCCAGAGGTGTCCTAGTGAATTGTGTGATAAGTTGAATGTGGTAGGCATTGTGTGAGAAACCCATGTTGCATGTGATAGAAATGAGAATATGATTAATGTTGAGTAAAATGTGACTGTACATTTGTGTTGGCATACTATGGGTGAATGATTGAATAACTTGAATGGTTGAAAATGAGTGTGATCGTATGTTTGGATGTGATTACGACATGTTTGAATGTGAAAACTATGAATGGTTCAGAGATACACTAGGAGTATGGAAGATGGGGACGGTAGTAATACCTTGGGAAAGAGAGGGTGGTGGTAACACCAACAGTGAGCATGGGTGCACCACAGGTCACACACTCTCCTCCTGACTCGGTCTCTGACTAACACCTTTGCCTAGGGGGCTCAATACCGCACATGTTGTATCCGTGAAGCGGGAGCTATTCAGGCGACCATCTATTGTATAATTGAGCAAGTCCCTGAGATCGAGGGCATCAAGAATCTGTGATCACAGTGCCACAGTGAGCGTTGCTACATGCAGTGAGCGCACATGTGTTTATGTAAATGTGTGGATTTGTAATTGGTGCAGTGAGCGCACCTATGGTGATTGAGAATTTGGATGGATGATGGTCGTTGACATATGCTCCTAATATGATTAGAATTTATGTATAATGAGTCCGGTGAGTCTAATGCTTGTCTGTGTGTTTATACTAGTATAAAGGACTCACCCTTACGTTTATTTTTCAGGTAACCAAGACGGTCAGCACCAAGACCCCTGAAGGAAGGAAGGATGAAACTGCTATAGGACTCAGAAATTTATTTTTAAAATCTGATGTATATTTAAGTCCTGTAGCAAGTAATAATGCAAATTGTACTCTAATTTCTAATTTAAAACATTTTATGAAATTGTGCTTGAACAATTATTTGAATGAAAAATTTTTACTACTTTGAACTTTGCGAAAACAGATTCATTCAGAAATTTAAAATTAACGTGTTACAAATTAAAACCAACTTCCTTATGCTATACTACTACGCCACCGGTTACTGTTCTACCATTGTTAAAGTCGATTGAAGTTAACTTTAATTTCCCTTTGCTGTTATAAAAGAAGTTGATTATAATTAACTTTAATGTCATTCTAGAGACGAGTTAAATCAACTTTTGCAGTTATTTAAACATTCTCTGTGGAGAGAGAAAGAAGGTGGTTCATATAGTTGCTATGAAGATGGATAATAATTTAACTTAATTTAGTTAATCGTATTATAAGTAAACTCTCAATGCAAATAATTTAATTTTTAAACTTGTATAATTGGATTTTATTTATTTATTTTTTATTTAATTTAATGTGTCATTAATTATTTAATTGTATGTTTAGAAAAATGTGTAAATATTAGTTATTATATTTGTAAATTTAATTAATTATCCGATATATATTTGTAATTATTATGATAATGTAATGTATATTTATTTATTATATACGTAACACATTGTGTTTGTTTTATATTTAATGAATTTTTTATTATACAATTGTTAGTGTATTAAATTGTAGCATTATTTTGATGTAATTTACTATTTTTTGTAATAAATTAAATAATTATAATTTCATGTAAGCAACCATTTAGATTGTAACTTGGTGAATTTCAATAAAACATAATTTAGCGAGTATTAATATATTTTGGAGTTTTAATTTAGTTTCGTATTGTAGTATTTTATAAATTATAATAATTTAAAATTTAGTTTTTGTTAAATTTATTTTGTGTCATAGTTAATTTAGTTTATTTTTGTTGTAATATTTTTATTTAAATTTTATATTGTATATAAAGAAAATATTAACCAATAATTTAGTAAAAATTTTATTTATTTTATATTTAGTTTGCAGGATTGTATATAATATTTTTTATTGTACATAATTCTCTAATTTTAAAAATAAGTACTATAATACGATGATTGCTCCAAATTTGAGGATGAAATCATTTCTAAGGTAAATATATTTTTGACATATTGCACAGATGGTCCCAGTATTCGATTATGATAAAGCACTTATTAATGCACTTATGGAACATTAGAGACCTAAGTTACACGCATTCCATCTTTCGTACGGAGTGCACTTATTAGGGCACTCATTATGTGTGAATGGACTTCCAGTAAGTGGCCACATTGGAGCATGGGAGTAATTTTATGATTAAGATATATAGGCATTAAGTGGAGATTTACTTGAAGCAGTTCTAAATGAGGTTTATATATACATTTGGAGCATTACTCCACAATGTTGATAAGTAGACTATGATTGGTTAAACCAAGGTGTACATAATGGTTCGATTTAATGGGGTATTGTTCCTAGATAAATCAGGATTTAGGGTTCATGTGAAGCAGTTCCCTCTTATTGATTTTATTGGAACTACAAACTATAGGTGGGGTCAATTGTTCTAGGATCCCTTTACTGTGACATTTGTCGTCCGATGAAATATAATGTATTGAGATTGTGGGTTGTTAACCTCTTCTACACTCTTGGGCATTTAGAAGTTCATATTTTGTGACTTATATTTACACATTTAAACCTTATTTTATATATATTTACACTAATTATGTTATTAATTGTTGCAGTTTAGCTTAAAGTTGTTATTAGTGCATTATGGAGATATTCTGGAGAATAATTAGATACTTTTAGTCCTTACTATGCTATGTGAATCTGAGTTTGAATTTTGAATTTAAAATTTAAACTTAGATAAAGATTTGGAGCAATTTTTAGTTAAGATTCTGATTGTGGATAAAACTGATTTGAAAAGATAGAGCTCAACCAATTGAAAACTCAAGGCACAGTCTATATAAAGAGGCTTTATGCTCTACACTTGGGACACTTCCACTTCTCTACACACCTTCTTCCCCTTCTTATTTTTAACCGTACTCATCTTTGAGAGTCATTGGAGACCATTGGCAAGGACGAAAAACTTCCTCTTGGAGTTCAAGCAAGTGATTGAGTGCCCCTTCGGAGAATGAGAACTCTCTTTGTCTTCTACCTTTCTGGGTTTTTTTTTTGTTTGAGTTTTCCTTTGTGGTTATAGGTTTATTTATCACGTTCTTCGTAGTTTATTTTGTTATAAGTAACTAAACCCATAGCTAGGACTATGGTGGATCCTACTACAAACTTTATGTCATTTTTACTTTAATGTTGGTATTGGTTTTCTTTTAATCTTTGGTTTTATTCTATTAGATTATATTGTGTATGTTAAGATTTGATCACCCTTAGCATTCCATAGTTAGTTGCATTGTAGGCGATCGTACCACGTGTTATTAACGGAACTATAAGATAAAACGAGATAAGGAGTTAGGTTAATCATACTTAATTCCTTTCTTTTAACTGTTATTAAATTAACAAATTCATAGGGTCTTTATGCTTTCTTGACCAATTACCTTGCATGATCATTGGGGTTGTTTCCTCAGG